TCCGCACGTGCGTTCGTGTATTTATTTATACAAGAAGGAAAAAGTGAAATCGAAAGAATAAGGAGAAAGGAAGAAAAGAACAGAAAATCTACAATTAATTTTATGTAGTTGCAAAGTTAATGTAGTCGACAAAATGCCAGAAATTGTCATAAAAATAATTCGGTATTTATGAAATAATGCAATTAACTCTATACATAATAACAAAGTACGGAAGTAAAAGATAAAGTTACACGAAATGTTGCTATTTGTATAAATGATATTTATAAAAAAGTTTTCTAAGTTTTCTTAATTTCCTTTTTAGAATAAGTAATTAATTTAATGCTTTTATTTATGTTCTGCATATAAAGAACTGAATAAAAAGAAGCATTTATCATTACTCGACTAAATTATTTTTATTTTATTTTATATAATGTGGACATTATGTAAACAAATAACCAAATAAAAATTATAAGGCTTCAATGTTAAAAAAACAAATTAATTAAAGAGAGGAGCATATTTATTTTATTATAATCGATTTAACACTAAGGTCGTTGTATTTTGACTTTTATGCTCCTTTATTTAATTAAATAAATAATATATATATATATATATATATATATATATATATATATATACAGGGTGTCTGAGATCACCCGTACATCTCTTTTATCTCGGAAACAAAGCATCGGCAACAGAGAAAAAAATGTTTCAGATAAAAATTGTATGATTTCGAGGTATACATAAAATGGTGTTATTGATCTGACTTTGAACAGTCGTTTGAAAATCATGTGAAGGTCACGTTGATTTTTCTAAATGGTATACCTTATTTGCATATTCTTGTAGCTTATTTTAAGAGCTTTCCAAAACATTATAATCAAATATTTTTCATTAAGAACCTTTTGAATTATAAGACTTGAAGATTTCAACATTTTGACAAAATACAAAATATCGTCCTGTACTATTAAAGTGCATTAAATATACATTTTTTTAATAATTAGACATTTTGCAGACATTGCTCGTTTTATTATCCTTTTTTATTTATTTGTGTAATGCGAGCCAATTTACATTTATTTTATTATTTTTATTATTGCACATCTATGTAAAAGCATCTATGTAAAAAGTAAAAAAAATGATGAATATTTACTAACAAACTATGAAAAATTTAATGCTGCAAGATTTGACACTGCTATAGTATTTACATAATTAGTAATAATATTCTTCTAGAAACTTATAATGTCATAGCTAAGTTATTTATTTCAATTTTTTAATTCTGCAGAATCATTCTCATAATTAAACTTAATAGTGAGCTTAATTAAATAATAAATAGATTATTTGAGAAATATACAGTAGTTTATTATTTAAATAAAATTATTTAGAATAATTTTAATTATATTAATTCAATGACTATTTAATTTATTCATTTAAGTGTTTATAGATGTGCAATGATTAAAATGTAATTTTTTTAGTAACTTTTTTATATATCTCAAAACATTAAAATTTCGTATATTAATAATTTGTTATAATTGTTACAATAATTTCTAGTGCGATTAATACATACATAAATAATAAATATTAAAATTAATTTATTAAATATATTAAAATTAAAATAAATATTGTATAACAAAACATATACTTATTTATATGTTTTCTGTTTTAGAAAATATTGAGCGAATATATAATAAAATATTATATAATATAATATTATTAGATCATATATATAAATCACTCTAATAGAAGTTTTGTAATATTACAAATATACATATATATTCTTGATATCAAATTAAAAATTACAAATTTAAGTAATTAATATCAATACATTAATATCAATAAATGTATATAAGATGTATACAGGATTGTTATATTAATTCTCAATTATCAGCTCAAGTAAAAATAATTTCCTCAGCATATAATAAATTTCATATTTCGAGAAGAATAAAATATAAAAGTACATTAAAAGTTTATACATATATTTCTTTTAAAATGCTTCTGAATAAATCAATGATTAGATATATTTTGCAGACATATTGGGTTATAATATCATAACTGAAAGATCATATAAATTTCTTGTTTAATAATATGTCAAAATGTAATTTGTCTTTATCCTCCGTTTAATAGAACAAACTTGAACGTAAAATGTTAAATTAAAAATAAAATGTTAAATGAAGCTAATTTATAACTATTTTATTAATTCGTTACATCAAAATAAATTATTACCTTGTTTTGTATCTTAATTTGTTGAATAAAATTTATTAATTAATTAATAAGTATTTATTTAATAAGTAATTTTAAGTAAAGTAAAGTAAATTAATATTGCTTAAAATCTACAGAATACACAAATAATATAAACATTTTAATTATCTCACTAAATAAATACAATAGAAATTTTACAGAAAAATATAATGACTTTGTTCACTTAACAGCTGACATTTAATAAGTTGACTTTGTCTATTTATATGATACCTTCATAGTACATTCTTATATCATTAAGTACATTCTTATATCAATGTATGTACATACGATAGTTTTCATATCGTACAAGAAGATATAATTTTTTATTTGATGTAATCCAATGTGACTCAAAAAAAGAGAGAGAAAGAGAGCAAGAAAGAGGAAGAGGGGAGAAGAAAACAAAAGGAGATAAAAGAGATATAAATGGAAGTAAAAAAAAAAATAAAAGGGAGAAGAAAACAGAGGAAAGAAAGGAAGGAGAGACAGAGAAAATAAGAGAATTTTTCACGAGCAAATGAACAGAAATACAATTAATAATCATTAAATAATCCAAGTAATAATTCATTATTTCTTTCTTGATTAATAGTTTTTATTTATAACGTAGGGTTAGATTCGTTCATCAGAACGAACTACGGTTAACACTAATCGTTAGTGCATTTAATTAATGAGTGTGTTTAAGATTGCTCATGATCATATTTTCATAATACTGAGCAACAGTCGTTAATATGTTACTTTAAGTTAGATTGATGCTCATAGGAACAAACGAGTGTAATAAATTTGTACATGTATATACTGCGCAACCGACAATTTTTCATCCCGATGTAACGCTTTTAAAGCGACACCTTGTAAATTCCATCTCGTGATGATCTTAAAATTACATAATAGATAAATCCGAGGTGAACAGAAATTGTTTCCATTTCCTTTAGAAAAAGGAAATAGAAACAATTTCTTCCTCTAATATTACAAAAATTGCTTAACATTATAAAATGCCAACAATAATATTCAAATCATATTGATTATGAGATAGTTCCTTGCATTTATATTCATAGAATATCGTTAAGATTTCCCGCCTATTCAGATACTACTTTAAAATCTCTCTATTTATATGAATTATAACAACAATAACTTAGAACTCAGTACTGATCGCAAATGATACGGACTTATATTCCAAATTTAGAATGCCAATCATGAAACGATATCACTGAAAATTATTCGTATGAGTTTAAAAAGCTCTCGGGGTATGTTTGTCGTGATTCAAATAATTGTTATACTGTTGTCCCGCACGACGCGACTCTCGATCAAAAACAATTGAAGTAACAATCAATCTGAAAAATTTAAGAAAGATATTTTGCTTATGTTCTTTCTTTAGAAATAATATTGTAAAAATTACATTTTTCTAATGTTCATGTTCATTATAATATCAAAATATTTGAATTTTTATCTAGAAAAATAGAAATTAATTATTCAGGTAGAAATTCAAATATTCTAAAATGGAAACATGCATTGACAAAGAAAATGCTTTTGCTAACTTTTTGTATTATTTTTAAATGCGAATATAATTTACATTCGAACGAAGGCCGCGATACAACTCGCGGAAGTAAATTTAATTTAATGTTTGTCACATTATTTATAACTATTCTTAATGGCAAATATGTTTCTGCTGATATTTAATAATACAATTTTATTAACTACATAAATCAAAGTCTGCTACGATTTGTGCTGCTCTGATTGACAATCTCGAAATTCTCTCTGACAGCATTCATGCAAAACTAATCAAACAAGAAATATATAAATATATAAAAAATATATAATAATCAAACAGATTATTGAAAGATGTTCGTTCTGTTTTCTGAACTTTTATTAAGTCGCCTTTACGACTTTTTATTATGTCTCTTAAATATTCAATACTATACAACTTCCAAAATCAAAGAATAAAATCTGTTGCAAAAATCTTATTTTCAATATTTATATATTTAAAAAATTGATAATTTCAATTATTATATAATTTCAGGATATATGCTATAGATTATAATAATATAATGCACAATAGTTCTAATTGCTGACATTAAATGAATAATGTGCCATCTTAATTATACATGTTTTCCATAGATACTTTACATCATTTTTGAAAGCCAATAGTTTGTAATAAAAAATTTGATAAAGTGTTTGATAAAAGATGTGAATTAAAACAATTACTGTTCGTATAGAAACATTCTATAATTATCTGTTTACATCAATTTTGAATGGCATGTCTTGGAAAAATTGTTATTATTGATTTACATTAAAAAAATTATTCTACTATACTTTTATATAAAAATCTACAATATAATAAAGTATAAATATAAATAAAGAAAATATAAATATTTATAATGAACGCTGAGAGATTATTTATTCATAGATCATCAATAAGGTTGCCTAAAATTCTAGATTCAATAATGTCACATTTTATCTCCGACTTAAAATTTAAATTATATGTCAACTTATGTATGACATTCACATTAAATAATAATTTTTTAAAAGACGTTTTTATTAAAAAGGGATCCAGATGAATTAAAAAAAGATATCTTATGATATATTTTTAACAATATTTTTATGAATTCTGTTTTTACCAAAACTATTAATATTATTATTTAATATTGTTTCAGTGGAATTTTTCAGTCTCTTATACATTTTAATAAATGTTACATAACATCTTGAAATAAAAATGAATTAATAAATGGCACCAGCACAAAACTTTAGACTTGACTGTTGCTATAGCAGTTTGTAGCAACTATAATATCACAGAAACAATTGAACAAATTTACGTGATGTCTTTTTCTATTTTATTTTGTGAAAAATTAGAATCTTGTCGTAAAGAATTTTTTGAAGCTTTCATCTTTTCCTGCAACCAACATTTAAACAATTTTTATAATTAAAAATCATACTGCTGAATTCAGAAGCAAAAATTAAAAATTTTTTTAATCCATTCTAACAAAGATATAACAAATAAATTTATTTATTTATATATTATAAAAATTTCTCTGATTTTTTTAATTTCAGAGGAATTTATGGAAGCAGCAATCGCAAATCACTACAGGTAAGCTTGGCACCGATGGCTGTATTGGTATCATTTATGATATTCTTCTTTTCAAAATTTTATGTATTTTATATGTTTGTATTTTTTTTAACCTTTATTAACGTTTATTAAGTTATTTATTCATCAATTTATTTACAATAGGCTATTTCATCTAGATTTGAAGAAATGTAAAGAATCTCTTTAGCAACCTTTATCAGAAGCAATCAAAATCAGTTGCATCAAAATAATAAATTTGACTTAGTTCATAAGCATGTGTTTCCACATATATTTTGTAGCAATTGTTACAATGATAAAAACGCATCAAGTCTTCTCAATACTATTACAAATTCAATTGCAATTATGCAATGTCAAATCAATTGTTTTTTTGGACTTTCGAATGTTACATATTTTGCACTGTTGTTGTTGAAAGTATAATATAATCTAATATATATTATAAAATATCATGCTGAAGAATTTATATTCAGAACTAATATATTTCTGCTATTTTATCATAGCTAATTTATAACTAATTATTTTTAGTATATAATATTAAAATAAAAATAAATTTTTAAAAATTTATAAAATGGCAATGATTAAAATACTGAAACTGTTATATTACAACCATGTCAATAATTGTTACTTGTTTCTGTTCAAATGCTCGTTTTTGTTCAATTTTTTTTCTTTTCTTCAAAATCTTTTAACAATCAATCCGAAAAGACGTATCTCAAAGAGAGATGTCTTTGATAAAAGTAACATATGCATATGTATATAATAATATATGCATATGTATATAAAATTATTAATATAATTTTCTGTCAAAAAAGAATTGCAATATATATTAGCTAATAAATTACAATATAGAAACCTGTGTATTTCTTAGAATTTAATAAATACAGTATGTGTGTACAAATATGTGTGTACCCACGGTATATGGATAATATTTATATTTTTTTTATCTTCCTTTCTTTTTTTTGGATAACAGCTAAATTTTTTAGAGTACATGGCATGACTAGAATGCACTTACTTCTTTCTCCCTTTAAATTATTTTAAGGCAAGACTATTTTTTTTCACACACATTTCTCTTCTTAACTTTTTCTTTCTTTGTTTGTCCTTCTCTTCATTGATTCTTCTTTCTCCTCTTTATTGGACACTTTCGCAACACATTCATGTTTTCAAACTCTACATACATGTATACACATACATACACGTATTCATTAATACATCATCAATATATCATGTGAATATGTTCGTTGTTAATCGTCTTAAAGGATGAACTTATGTAAGTTCCTAAGTCCTAAAACAATTAGAGTTCGTTCTCCACAGAATCATATCATCCCGATACCGCTTCAGTGTCCTGCAATCAAAAGTGAAGATTACTTAAAATGATTTAAATAGGAATGATAAAAGAGAATTGACAAGAAATTAGATTACATTACTCTAGCAAACACAAAGAATTAATTCTGATCTGATGTTCCTCATATACGAAACTAGACATTGAGAGATGCGCATAAACTTCCACAGTGTCCATGCGACATCTCTCCATGATGGAACACAAACAGACTTCTAACGGAGATTTATTATTACATTTTACAAGGAGAACCCCAGAAGTGTTCTTCGAGTTTTTCGTTTTCCAATTTTTTTGATGGTTTTTGAGGTAAAAAAGGATTACCGCCCGCGGCGTTTATCAACATGTGGCTTTGTTTTTGAGCTTTGCGGCTTTGTTAAAAATTTTTAAAGCTCCAAAAATTGAATGATTGCGAATCCGATTCGCATCCGAAGTTTGGCAATTTTTTTTCTTTAATATATATTTTTTACTGGACATAATACTGAACAAATATTAACTGTGATAATTTAAATGAAGTTTCTAATCTCGTAAGATTTTATAAGATAATTCTAATCTACTGAGAATAAAGACAAATCAGTAAAAATTGAAGAATTTATAAGATAATTCTCATACTGAGACTAAAGACAAATCAATAAAAATTGAAGAATCTTCAATATTTATTGAGAAAATAAATTTTAAAAAGCAAAATCTTTGTTTTTATAAAGACAGGAATTAATCATGTCTAAGATAAAGAAATTTTAAAATTGCTCAGACATTCCTGTTTTTCACATATTTCTAGTGATTCAAGAACAGTTTTGAATTCTTCTCGCACGTTATATCACATCGATTACTTTTCTGAATATAATTCCTGAATATAATTTAGAGATTGATCTTCATATTGATAGTATCTCTATACAATTATTGTATTTCTATACAATACAAGTAATATTCAGTTATATTCAATTAAAATTAAAGTTGTTAATCATCAAAGTAAGCCAGAAGTTATAGATATTTGGAAAGAATTTTCGAAATCTACTATGAAGTTACTAAAGCCATTTATTAATAAAGTTCTAAAATAGAAGAATAATATTGGAATTATTTTTAATGGAAAAAGGCTGACATTCAATCTTCGTTGTTTTTAAGCGGATGCAGTAACACATGTTTTTGTATTAGGACACCAAAGTCATAAATCTCGAGTTCCAAATGTTGAAATGTTAAAAGAAAGTTATAGAAGAAAATATTCGCCAAGATGTTATGATATATCGTGGTACTGATCATTGCTTGTGAACAAACAATACAATGTATATTTAAATAGAAAGCATCATATTGAAGATGACTCTTCTTCTTGCTCGACTTCCTATAGAGTACTTCCTTCTAATAAAGTAAACGATTTTTTATTATATCATTGCATCTTGTTTGCCTTGATGTCATGGAAACATTTTCTTAACTATTATTGGAAAATATGCTCCTTCTTCAAAACTTTCATTTGCTTCGATAAAAACTTTTAGTAGTAGATTAGAACAAACAAGGCAATTCTGTCCAAGAGAACTTCCAAGACAGCCTACTAATGTAGTAAAACATTTGTTATGTCCAATGGACTTTACGATTCTTTTCTTTCACGGAGCGGAAGCGCGAGCTCCGAGATATCGTAGAAGTCATCCTGAGCAAAATAAATATCATTTATAAATATCATTTATAGCAATTCAAGCTCCATGAATCGCCAGTCTGCTAAACACGTGAACCTCAGTCTATCAGGGTCTTACTTTTCAAACGAATAAATAAATGAGAGTCTGATAGAATTGTAACCGGACTAAATAACAATTGACAGGTATATGCGAATTACCGAAATGAAAGGAAATACTTAGAGCACTGACGACGACGGAGAGCTATAAAATCGTCAAAGTAGAAATCCGTTTTTTTTTCAAAATCGAAAAAACCAGGCAACGTACCCGTAGAATCGCCATCGTGGCGACACATTGTTATATCTCACCCTCTACTCAACGCAAAAGAGTTGAGACAATCGTACTTTCTAAAACATTTTCTTAAGATTGAAAATTTTGTTCATATATTAGTGACATCTTCTGAAATAAGAATTTATCATTGCTTTCTAATCAATTCATTACAATTAATTTCGATCAACTTGTTGGAAAAAATTTTAAATCCTTCCTCGTTATGATACAAATCAAATTTTAAAATCTGATAATTATGTAATTACCATTATCTTCTCCTCTTTCGATCAAGACTTTGATTACAAAGCAAAAGTACGTTGTACAGTCCATCATTGTCATTAAATAAAAGCACTTCGCATAGCGACAGTTAATGCATCAATGCAATTATTAATTTTCCTTACTTTAGTCTTGTTTATTTTCCAAATGAATAAAAAGGATTATCGTCAAATGAATGTCACAAGAATGTCAGATTTTGGATGATTTCTAACACTACGAGTTTCTTCAACAATGAAAGTGAAAATGAAAATGAAAAACAATTTTGCTTCCTTTAGCAAACATGGAAATATCATTTGTTTTCAACGCATCCCTTATGGTTAAATTGATCGTATGCAAACACGCACATAAAAGAGATGTAAATCTGACCGAATTTGTTTGCAAATGCTAATGCAGATTGTACAGTATTATTAGTTACTTCTAAGTCTCATAACTAATAATGAAAATATTTAATGAAAAATCCTTACCATAATATTTTGAAAAGTTCTCGAGACCAGTTACAAGAATATACAATCAAAATTCAATTAAAAGTTTTAAAATAGTTGTAACATTATCCTAACAATGCTATCCATGATTATATTAATATTGTTACATAATGTGTCACTTATAACTCTCTACACTTTTTATGTGGAACACTTTTTTCAAAAATATCTATTTTCTGAAATATTAAAAGATTTCCATGCGTTTGAAAAAAATGATGTATAATAACAATATTTATTACATTTTCTGCTTAAAATATTTCTAATAAATCTTTTTTGGTAATCGATTATATTATTTATATAATTAAATTTATGTGCAAGCAATTTAAAAGCAAAATAATATTATTGATATAACGTGTGATAAAATAGAATTATCTTATTTTAAAAATGGCAAACTATTGAACTGTAATGTGTTAAAAGAATTTTAAAAAAACTAAGAGATTTTTTGTTAACTCACCGGTTAATAGTGTTCATTGAGCATATGTCTTGGCGGATGCCAAGCTAGCTAAGGTATATGTAGCGAATAGGCCGATATAATGGCATCATATTGGCCTTGGTTTAGAAACCTTGTATTACACCATAGGCCTCAAGAGTAGACATGATGAGATAAAGCAGCCAGAGGGAGAATAAAAAGACAGATGTAATGAGCTTTGGTATAAAAGGTCCGCCCAATTCACCACCGATCGACTTTACTCGTCTCACCAACAGTACCAGAATTACAAAACAAGCTTCACTGCAGAACAAAGTGACGGAGAAGGCCAAGCTGCATCATAAAGAAAATTATCTATAATTGTGCACTATAGAAATAATAACAAAGTGGAACACTGCAAAGTGCATTCGGAATTTTTATTTAGTGTAAACAAATAATTTATTAAAAATTAAGCGTTACATTCTTATCTACGATAATCATTCAATTTTTAATTCCGTATTTCAAGCAATTCAAATATTGTTTGAAGATTCTGCTAATTCACTTCGATCTGAATTGATGATGTCAGAGCCGAAAAAATATAACGGTTTCTTCTGATATTGTTCCTCATTATTAGATATAATTTCTTTCTAGATTGTTATTTATTGTTTACCAAAACAAAAGGAATTTAACATATTATTATGTAGGATGTTGCTTAACGGTCGCGCAGGGTGAATACTGCGGTATAAATTTTCGAAAATATTCACTAAGCCCTGAAAAACTTTGCACACACGCTCGTAAGCTCAGGAAAATTTTTAACTGTTTCAATTTTACGCTCAAGTGGCACTATTGTTGACTTATTGTTGACTTATTTATAGAATGTTCTTATTATCTCTATTCTAAATATCATGTAAAAAACTTGACTTTAGTAATCACCACTTTGTTAATGAATGATTACCCTCTCAACTTTATCTTTGATAACAATCATTCAAGATTTCACATATCACATTTTATCTGATCTCATTCGAACGATTTCAAACTAATTGTTTATTGGCAACCCGTTCGTAGATTTATTATCACGAGTAATCGTGTACCAGTTACGTGCCTTAAATCATAATTATTGTTTATTGTTTAAATCATATATTTTATTTATGCACATATATAAATATAAACAGTTTTACTGTGAAGATAATTAACGGAAAATAAATGTTCAATAATATTTTTAAGAGAATTCCTCAAATTTAATGTAGAAATAGACTATGCGGTGTATCGTTTCAAAAATGATTACTTTATTATCTGTTATTATGAAAACTAACTATTTTTAGGATAAATGCATTTATCCTAATACATTTATCCTAATATCACATAATATTGTGAAAAAAATTATGGTATATTAAATTTCAATTTAGCATATATTCAATATTTAAATCTATTAAATCTATAATAAATTATATATTTGTTTAGGTGTCGGATATTAATAGCTTCGTAATAGCTCTTGTTACTTACTTGCCAGTTTTAACAACAAATTGTTCACTACGGCAAGTATGATAAATGGCAGCAATACTCCACGCGACGCCGATTCCGAGGAAGACATTTACGGCATTACTTCCAGTCACATTGCCTACGCTTGCATCGGCGTACTTGTCTTGACAAGCGGCTACTTTACTCGCGAATGTATCTGAAATGATTTCATATATTTGAAGTTTTTTTATTATTATGATCATTAGTATTATGCACAAAAACAAAATGTTAGCGGTATATCGACAGATCGGTAGCACGGTTTTAGGCTGCGTTCCAATATTCACTGCCAGTACTGACATTATACAGTTTCAGGTCACGTATATTATAGATTTTTCACTTCTTTCTTTATTATTTTGCCATTCCTTTTACCGTTATAAATAAAACTGAGACTAGACACAATCAACAATTTTTTAAACTTTTTGTCAAAAGTCGAAGTGTTTCGTTTACGATTAATTGTAAAATTGCGTTCAAAAATATCATCCAAATATTAACATTTTATTTTTCCATGAGTTTCGAAATGTAGCGTGCTCATTGAGCGCTTGGTTTTTACCTGCGAGAATCTAAAATCAAATCTAATCAATTACGTTTAACTGCTTTAGTCACGTTACGAGCACAATTATGTTACAAGAAATAAAGTGTTGCAACCTTTTTGCGATCAATATGCGCGGGACACTCGGATAATGCTTCTGAATATGGCCTTACTTGTTCAATGGATGATAATAAGGATTTGAGAGTTTCAAACTGATTTGGTCCAATCGAAAAAAATAGTTCGTTTTATTTTTCATTAAACAACAGTTTTTTTCAAATGGTTGAGTGTTTTTGGTTCCACAATATCCCAATGCAACAAACGTTACAAATGCGACAAATGTGAAATATAAATTAATGAGTGAAACAAGTTAATAATTTTTCTATTACTACGCTATTTTCTAATTTTATCTTTATCTTTAATGCATTAATTCTGCTTTTACTTACCAGGAATGCTGGTACCAAGAGCGACGAAAACAATTGCAGTGACAGAATCTTTGATACCCAAAGTGCAACCAAAATATGAGGCAATATCGCCGATTATCGCCGTAACAACACCGATTCCTAAAATGCTGACGATAAAGCACAAGTAACCACCAGCGATATCTAAAATTTGAAAAATAATATTTCTTTTAGCTTTTGCAAAAATACAAGAAGATTTTTAAAATTAAATTCTCGAATAATATAATATAATACGGGAATAATATAATATGCATTTTTTTTAATACATGATAAGAGAAATTAAAAAATACATATTCGAAATAAAAGATTATGTATAAAATATTATTGTGTATTTTGAAAGACTACATCTACAAAAGATTTATTAAAATAGAGACTTCAACTTCCGGTTGTGTAAGATTATAGATGAGCGATGAAAATAGAAGTCTAAAAGAAGAAAATAAAAGGAGAGCACCGACTTAAAGGTAGCATTATGATTCGATAGATACAGAAGATTTGATAGGAACAATAAAGAAAAAGGGAGTGAAAGAAGATTATTGGTAAAAAAAGTAGAAAAAAATATTGAGGAAGACGAAATACAGAGTAAAAATAGGAAAGCAGGAAGGTGGAATTTTGGATGGTGAAATAAGGATGTCCACTTACAAGGGAAGCTTTCATTCTTCGGGACATCGATTTTGCCAAATTTTTAATAAAATGTAGTATTGGTATAGAAACGCAAATATTATCCAGAGACTCCAAAGTAATATCTGACAATGTTAACAAACTGCTGCTAGAATAAGTGGCTAAAATCAAATTACAATTTCTAGCACTCATTCACATATAAATCATTACTAAATAAGAAATATAATAAAAAGTGACTTAAGTGATACGCATTTGGCAACGAGTTATTAATTATTAAAAATTATAAAAATAAGTGCGCTTCTACATATTCTAATAAGCGCTCACTGGTAAATGAAAAATGAGATGTTACCATCCAATATTACGCATGTTCGCGGTTGCTAGGAACGCGATGAAATGTTTGAAAGTGTGTATTATAAACAAATATTCTGTCATTGTAGACTTCACATCTAAATATCTCGCCGCGTTTCTAGCAACCACGAAATGCTGTAACGTTAGGCGGTTGCACCTTGTTGCATACTTGCATTTGTCGATCGATCGGGCGAATAATATGCTCGCATTCGATGATTTTTAATGATTAATAATTCGTTACTAACTGCGAAAATCGCAAAATGGAATAGAGAACTTTTCTACTCAGTTTGATCTGCTCTATCCGGTGTACCATTAGGAATTAGACAGCTTGTATATCATATATTTTAGCTACGCGTAAAATAAATTCAAATTCACATGTTCAAACGCTATTTGTTAAAAAAATGCTACCTAAATCTTCAATTTTGGAGGTACTGTATGTCAAAATATTCCAGAATAATAATATCTCATAAACTATTTATTGTTATCTGTAAAATATCTCATAAATCTATTTATTTTTTTGATAATTTTACTTTAATATTTTTATATTTAGAATAATTGGAGTTATATTATGTAAAAACATTATATAAATTTGTTTTAAAAAATTGTGGTTATATAAAAAATATCGATAATGGCGCTATCTACGTATATAAATCAATATCATAATCAAGTAGCTCAAAACCCTATAACTTTCATTTGAAATAATCTTCTATGATATAAATCATTTGCAAGATATTCGGGATAGACGATTAAAACAGAATACTCCATATATTAAACGTTAATGTTATTGTAAAAAAGTTTATTACACACCTGTGGGCGGAACGAAGGCAAAAAGGACTTTCCAGAAAATGGTAAGTGAATGCATGAGATAATCCATTACGGACGGTGAGGAAGGTTGATTGCTTCCCTCTGAATCATCTTCATCACCTCCACTGACAGTCAACGCTTCCGTAAATTGTTCTTTCCAAGAACTCGTGCCTAAAATTCAAGTTTCAGAATTCTTATATTAAAAAAAATAAAAACCATTTGAGAAAGGAGAATACTGCAATTTATAATATTTTGCAATGTGTAATTACAAATTAATTGGAATTCCTTCTTTAAAATAAAGCATGGTTCGCGAAAATAATTTAGCTTCAAGTTTTTTTATAATTCATCAATTTTTATATATTTCTCACAAAAATAACGGTTAATAAGAAATATAGATAATATATGTTTTATATTACAGAATAGAGAACAAACAATTCTGCTTAATGAACTAATAAATATATGATGCAATGAATTTTTACTAAACAAATAAATTTTTTTTAGTTTTACTTTTGACACAATATTATCGTTATAAACTCATTCGAAAATATGGACTATTTCCTTCGACTCTTTCAATTTCCTTCAAATTTGCTAAAAATTCAAAATATAAAATTATTATCTCTATTGATTTTATTAAAACTGATTTTATTAAACGTAAACGTCTTTTAATAAAAGTAAAACATGATTTCCTTAAAAAACTAACTTAAATAAATTGGAACTTCTAAATACTTCGGTTTACATAATTTAATTTTAATTTTTTATTAAATATATACATTCATCATTATATGTGAATGTATACATCGTCATTATATGTGAATGTATACATTTGTTATATTATTCCCTATCATCTATTAACTAACTATTACATTAGTTATCTATGACATTTGTTAAGATAATAGTAATATAATTATAACTTAACACTAAAAATTTTTGTTTAACTGATAATAATGAAACAAAAAATAAATTAATTAACATTTTAATTTAAAAAACATTTATTTAACATTTACAAAAAAATATTTATACGAACGTTTTACAGCAAGCGAGCCACCTCTTCTCCCAAAAATTAACGTAATAGAAAAAAACATTTGCGGCTTCAAAAAACCTAACTCTTTCCCCCAAGGGAATTAATTCTTAGTACGAAGAAGTAAAAGATGATGATGTTCGGAAAGGGAGGAGAAGAGAAGAAAAAAGAGCTGTGGCTATGGAACAGAACAGAATAGAAGAAGTAGTATCACTTTACATATTTGAGCTACGTGTTACGTAGAAATAATAGAGCAAACAAACGTATTAGAGAGACAGTTGAGAAAATGAGATGCGCTATAAAACAAATGGCGGATAGGACAAAGAAGATTTTGCTGGAGATTTTAGACGAAAAATATGGATATTTGATATGGATTGATATGGATTTTTCTTATTAAAGAGTATCATAATGTACGAAGTAGACATTTTGAGATTGGAAAGCATATGAAGTGATAGAAAGGTGTCGAATAAATTCATAAGATAATCCTTAAGGTTTGATTGAGAACACATCGGGATACATTGTTAGAGAAGAAATGAAAAGGCATTTTTGCTTATACGCGTTTATAGATATATTGTACGTATTGTAATTTTATATTTATTTAAAATAAAAATATATTTACTATAATATTGTAATTCCTTATGAAGGATTACACAACATTATTTATTGGATTCAAAAAATATATTTAATTTATTATATTATCTATTGTCATTGACAGATTAAAATCAAATTACAATAGATTATCTATTATCATTAAAAAAAACGGATAGTTTTATGTGGTACATCTGTTTCAAAAAATTTGTTTTAAAAATAAATATTTTGCTAACAAAATTTGTTGCAAATGCTTTGTTGCAAATGCTAAGATTTGTTTTTGAAAAATTGTTTAGAATAGAAGCTCACCGAGTATTATGGAGGCGTTTGCTCGCTGGACGAGCTTATCCACGGTGTTTTTAAACTCCTTGGATTCTTTAATCCTGATTTGCGCTCGGGATACCTCGCCCAAACGCGGTCGGCCCAACAATGCCATTTTCTCTTCCTCTGTTCTATTCTCTGGCAACTTCATTTCTGCTGCTGCAGCGATTCCTGCCTCCGCTGAAATCAGAAAATCATGTTTTGCTGCTTTAATATCGTCATATTTTCTAAACGGTATGTGTATAGAAAGTCGATTTATGGTCAGATAGGAACAACGAAATAAATTCTATTATTTTTCTTTAATTCCAGTTTGCTATAAATAAATAAGATAAATATTATCGAAACGTTTTTATTTCATATTTAAAGACTAAATTACTTATTTTTACTGGCAACTTTCAAAATGTTGATTCTTTCAAACAATTTAAAACAAAAATTTTTATGTTAAAACACATATTTGTCCAAAAAATTTCACAAGTCTTTTCTTTCTTAAGCAGAAGGTAGATATAAAGATATTAGGAAAGGAGGGAAAGGGAGAAAATTAGATGAGAGAAATGGAAAACAAAATGCTGAGAAGAGAGGAAGAGAAGGAAGCAGGAGAGAGACAGAGAGAGAGAGAGAGAGAGGGGGGGGGGAGGGAGTGCAGAGAATAATACGGAAGAGAGAAAGAGGGGAAGGGCTATGAACTTAAAAGGATTAGATAAATATTAGTATGGATAAAGAAAGAAATAAGAATAAGTTTGGAATTGAAGGAGACGAGAAAACAGAAGTGCCGGGCGATGTGTAGGTAGCGTACATGTGATTCTTCAGTTTTAAAAGATCGATTTTCGTAATTATAAATGAATAGGAAATTCATTCCTTTTGTTAGGTCTTTTCAATCTTTATACACGAATTTATTTCTCTTTCTACTTTTTACTGAATTTATCATTTATAGACCACTTTATCAAATATTTTACCACGCGTCCAGCAACTGTGAATATATAACACTGAGCTGTGAATATATAATACTGAGTTGTTTCTTTGTACGAATGCTCACTACTTTGCAGATTTATATAAATTAATAATTCTTTAATCATTGCAAAAATTGTAAAATAGGACTTTTTTATTCAATATAACCCATGTTATTTACCAATAAGAAATGATGGGCAACATCAAAAACGATTATGTACAGATAATTATTCAAATTATGTAAGCAAACCATTACTGTATTTTTTTTTCATTTATTTATAATTGTAACTTTTGCATAAAGTAATCAATATAAATGTAACCAATGAAATTTTTATAAATTTTTTTTTATTGCTGAAAACGAATTCATGAATACAATTACCCTATCATATTACATTTTTAAATTATTTTCAAATATCCAAAAATTTCATTTTCGGCATACTTAAATTTTCTCAAAAATGTAACGTAATAAAACAATTCATTTGTGAATTTGTTTTTAGCAATAAGAAATCTTTAAAAATCATTTTGTACTTACTTCAGTAGTCTACTAGTCTAAAAAAAAATA